CCCTGTCTGCTGCACCCAAACAAAGGGGGCTTTGAAATGGCAAGGAGCTAGCCAGCTGTCAGTAATTAGAAAAGAATGAATGCCCTCTGGGGTTGCCTTGCAAAACCCTGGCCGCTGTTGTGCCAGCCTGGAGAAGCCTGTTTGCTGCGGGCTGTGCAGCTTCAGTAGCCATGTCCTCCCAGTCACTCCTACAGGTACACTTAAAAAATAATTGAAATGAACTGTTTTATTGCTTTGTGGCTTATCAGATAAGTATTGATTTCCTTCTATCCTACATCTCTTTCTTCCCATATTGAGGTTGAAATTAGTTTCTGGAAAGAGGGGAGATTGAGATGAGATACTGGGAAGAGATATTTTCCTGTGCGGGGGGTGGGCAGTGGCCCAGGTTGCCCAGAGAAGCTGTGGGTGCCCCATCCCTGGAGGGGTTCAAGGCCAGGCTGGATGAGGCTTTGGGCAACCTGGGCTAGTGGGAGGTGTCCCTGCCCATGGCAGGGGGTGGCACTGGATGGTCTCTAAGGTCCCTTCCAACCCAAACCATCCTGTGATTCTATGGACCATGCTGAATTCCTTATGCCATTAGCCTGCTCTGTGTTTAACCTTTGGAAGAGGCTGATGCTCCATTGCTCAGCCATCGCAGGACCGCCTGTCTCTGGTGGCCCAGGATGATTTCTCTTGTCACCCGCAGGAAGATCTGCAAGTCCTGCAAATGCAGCCAGGAGGATCACAGCCTGAGCTCGGATGTGGAGGACGATCGGAAAATCGGGCGGCTGCTGTCGGACTCCAAGTACGCCACGCTCACCGCCCGCGTGAAGGGAGGTGACGGCGTCCGCATTTACAAGCGGAACCGCATGATCATCACCAACCCCATCGTCTCGCGGAAAGACCCCACCTTTGACACCATCACGTACGAGTGGGCTCCCCCGGGGCTCACCCAGAAGCTGGTAAGATGCTCCAGGAGTGGGTAGCTGTGATGCTTCATGGAGAACATAAAGCAGCTCCAGAGCAGAGTTATTGGGGGAAAATAGTAAAATGTGTGGCTTGCGTCATGGAGCCAAAATGTACGTAACGCTGCGTATTTGGGAAAACTGCATAAATAACCCCAGAGTGGGTCGGAGAGGGGAATGGGTTTGCCTTTGGGTTTTTATAAGTTTCTAGGAGAAGTCTTACTGGGTTGTACAACTGAAAGCTCGCTACTTCAGGAAAGCTCCTGTCCAGTTAAGACATTCCCACCGCCTCTGCCCGTGGGCAGCAGCAGCCCATCCTTGGCTGGGAGCATCTGCCTGCCCCGGCACGAGCTCTGCCCACCGCTGCTGCCCGAGGAGCCCCTCTCAGATTCAGCACTGGAGCTGGGATTTTTCTTTTTCTTACAGCTAAACACAGTCTGATGCAAATAAAAATATTTGTTAAGGTTGGAGATGGGGAGCGTGGTCCCATGCCTGGGGTGGGATGTGGAGCAGGCCCCCAGCCCCTCCTTCCCTCCCGCGCCTGGTTTCCATCCGGGCGAGCGATGTTGCTGTGTGGGAAGGGAGGGAAGTGGGGTTTGGCGGTGGAAGTGTTAGCCAGCAGAGCACTTCTTGAGGGAGAGCATTAGACTGGCTTTGAGCTGTGTTGTGGTACTAAGAACATTACATATTACACTGTCATTAGGGGCAGCTTTTGCTCTTCAAATTGGACAAATGGCTTAAAGCTGCTGACAATTGCAACCAGATTTTTTTTTTAAAGAAGAATTGGGGAAACAAATGTGGGATTGCAGCTGCAGCCCCAAGAGGCAGACTGATTATTTCTTCTTAACACTCAGCTGCCATCAGCCCCTTGGAAAGGCAGACTGGGGATGGCATGTGGTCCATACTGGGAATGCAGCTGGGAGCAGACCCCGGGCTCTAAGGAGGGAGCGAGCCCCTCGTGCATCCCCCGCCCGGCTGTGAAGGGCAGCGCTGCTGCT